CAAATCAAAGCCATACAGCAACAAGTAAAATAAACTTCAGTCCAGCTAGTGAGCACAACAAACAAGGGAAGAACTAGTCGGCAACATGATTTCTAAAGCTCCATCCAAACTTTGCAAAGACCGCCATAATTAACGTCTCCCGGTCTCCGTAGCAAATCTTGAACAGAGGTCTATCCTCTGCTCTATGAAGCATGGACCACTATCGGATCCAAACGTCGCCCTGAAAATTACCTACTCCCTCCAGGTTGGTAAAACAAGTCGTTTTGGACAAAGCTTGGGTCAAACATTGGGAATATAAATCATGAATAACTTTTAAGTTGTTGAGTTTGGAAATGTGAAAAACATATGAATAGATTTGTCTTAAAAAATACTTTCATAAAAATATAAATATATCACATTTTAATAAATATTTTTATAGAAATAAGAAGTCAAAGTTATGCTTTGGAGACCATGTCATTATCCAAAATGACTTCTTTTACCAACCTGGAGAAAGTATACAAAAGTGTTACAACTAGCCTTGTTAAATACCATATCATTTCTATTTAACTATATTGCCTAACAAAATGCAGCAGTTCCTAGCAGAATTTGGTTTTTAAGTTTAGGACGTGATCCATGAAGCCAAGAACCAAACAATCTAGCAAAGCTACTAGGTGGTTGAATTCCAAACATGATATGCATAGTATTCCAAACAAAATGTGCAAGATGACAGTCAAAGAACAAATGTTGAATAGTTTCGATTGAACTACAAAGAACAAAGTGTGCAAGGTGACAGCAACACTTCCTTGCAAAAGAACAAAGTGTACAAGGTGACAGCAACACTTCAACACTTCCTTGTAGTTTCTCTTTGCTAGATTATCTTTTGTAAATGTTACCCCTTTTCAAATACCATAGAAAAATCTTAATTTTCAACGATATTTTTAATTTCCATATAGGGCTTTTCTCAGGGAGAGCGCCTTGTTGGATCAAAGTTTTATACATCGACCAGATTGTGAATATGCCATTATTACTGAGGTTCCATCTGAATCCATCTTTCCCATTAGAGAGAAGTTGTACAACTTTTGACACTAAGTCAAACCAAGCATTTCGTTTTTCATTAACCAAACCCTGCCTAAAAGATACATTAAGTGGTATTGTCCCTAAAACATTTGCCACCGTATCATCTTTCCGCCTTACAGTTCTATATAAATTAGGGTAAAACTCTTTAAAAGATTTATCTTCCAACCACACATCCTCCCAAAAACTCACCTACTCCCAACTCATCACCTTAAAAGCACCACAACCTAGGAAATTGTCCTTTGCTTTCATAAGATCGACTCAGAAATGAGAATCCCGAGACCTATGTTGCATCTGAGTAAGGCATTACTAGACAAATATTTCCTTCTTAGAGGGTTCTGCCAAACGCCCTCCTTATTGATCAATCTAAACAGCCATTTACTTTCTTCTATGCTGCACACTTTCCTGGTTTTTACCGGCCAGTCTGTCGTTGAGCTATGACTTCGATTCATTGTCGAGCACTAAGAACCAATCAAAACTCTCTCCCTCTCCTGCAGACTCAATGCAGTACTCAACAGACTCAAGGCAGACTCAATGCCGGGGGTGCTCCGATCGGAACCAGATCCTCTGCAAGCAAATCTACTATCCTCTGCAATCAAGCAACTGAGCCGTGCATTTCAGATCCAACAGTGAGCCCACAAAACGCTAGAACCAAACTAATCTTGCAAGCATGCAGCTGGCCCATCTCAGCCTAGCCACGTGAAGGATACCCCTAGGTGACTCGTACGGAGTACGGAGTCTTGGACTCTCACAGGATTTTTTTTTATTTTTAACATTTTTTTAAACTAATTTTAAATCTACCACTGTTTAATTTTTTTTTTCAAAACTAACACTTTTGGCCGCGCCTATTGACATGGCGCGGCGAAACGCCTGTGCCGCGCCATGCATGGTGACGTGGCGGGAGGATGACGTGGCGACGACCGGAGCGCTGACCGATGACGTGGCAGGGTCCGCCGCGCCAAGGCCCACGGCGCGGCAAGACCTAGACGCAGACAGAAGACCAGCCTCAATTGCAATTGAACGGGAACTGCTGTCGGTGAGGATCGGTAGCGACGCGACCATGGACCCCGGCTTCGCTTCGCAGCTAAACGGCACCTGCAACTCCGACCCCAACGCCTTCGCCTTCCTCGACCCCTCGCCGGTGGGCTTCGACAACGCCTTCTACCGGAACCTGCAGGTCGGTAAGGGCCTCCTGGGCTCCGACCAGGTGCTCTACTCCGACATGAGGTGGCGCAGCACGGTCGACTACTACGCGTCCAACCAGGGTGCCTTCTTCAGCGATTTCGTGGCGGCGATGACCAAGCTCGGGAGGATCAGGGTCAAGACGCCGGCCATCGGTGGCGAGATACGCCAGGACTGCCGGTTTCCGAACTAGTTGCTAGTTAATCTCGCCGGCAGTGCTGCCGCGACGCATTGAAATGAATATAAAGCAAATAAATGGAGTCCGTGCGCAAGTTGACAAGTTGCCACATAACATTTGTTCGACATAAGTTTCGAACGACAATATTTATTCGACATAAGTTCGACATAACCAACTAAGTCCCAGGAGTGTAAGGATCCCTCGGACGGATCTGTCTCTTCGGATTTATAGGCAACACATTGGGAGTATAGCCAACGTCGGTGTGGTCGCGTTGCCGGTGCGTACGGCTCATACCCTACAAGTATATGATATGCACGATTACTTATAATCTATATGATCGTTAGTTCATGGAGCGTACGTATTTTAAGAAACTACCTTTGTTACTACCTGTGAGGCTCCTTGGGTACCAAGAAGGACACCACCTAACTGAGACATGCCGATCTCATCCTGCTGCCAATCATCCCACTAGTGGTGCTATATGCGGAAGCTCGGGGGGTCGTCGTTGTCGTCATCGTCGTCGTCGTCGTCCTCGTTTGCAGGGTCCTTCCCAGCGCTATGATGTGGTGGTGTACGCACTGCGAAAGCGGCACCTGTCACCGGCTGGGAAGAGCCGGCGGTGTCCTCAAAGAGACAGAAAGACGTGCCACCCGACCGCGTCGGGTAATCGGGTTCCACCCAAGGAATGTCCATGCAGCTTAGCTTCTGAGCTAGCTTCCTACAACTCTTCTTAACCTTCTGCAAAAATAGACGTTAAAGTTAGTGTATTTTTCAAACGCATATACACTAAAGAAACATTTTCAGAACAGACAAGTTTATGTTTACCTCCACAAAAGCCTCAAGAATGCCTGGCCCCTGCCCTCTAGACTCGTGAAACCGAAACGCTGCTTCGTTGGACAGCCTTGACAATTGTGTCGTCTGGGTACAGAAATGCGGTTGGACAGTTTTAGTACACATACTTAATACCAAATAGATAACAAATTGTACCATTTGAGTATCTCACCACGTATCTTTGAAGCGGGGCTCTCTGTAGTTGTGTGTCGTCCCTAGTGGCAACGTCGTACACATCTTCGATCACATCTTCCTCGTCGTCCTCGTCAATCGCCTCCTCAGTGTACGGGGGCTTGATATGTGTCATCGTAGACCTGTGAAGCCACCGCAGGTACTCGTCGAAAGTGTGTTGGTCGTGTGGGGGACCCGCATCGACCGGCTGCCGGTCCCTGTTCTGCCACAACTGGATGTATGCGTTGTATGTCACGCGCCAATCCTTGGTCTTGTACCTCTTCCTGCGGTCATACCTGCAACAAAACGATTGTTAGTTGTACCATACACACCTCTGAATTATAGCTTTGTTATTAATCGATAACGCACCCGTGCAATTCTTGGTTGGTGAAGTAAAGCGGTGGTGGGTAGCCTGTCATTCTTCTAAACTACCTGCAAACCCTGATGGGCAAGTGAATCTGGACCACGTGAAAGAAAATAAGAGGGACGTTGCAGCGATACTCGTCTGACTTATCCCTAGTGATAGAACTCAGATAGTACTAGAGCTCCAGAACATCCTAAGGACACCAATGCACCTGAACATTTCGTAATTGAGTTAGGTTGTGATATAGTGTATATCGAACAAGACACTTGTATGATAGTAAAGAGAGCGTCGATGGGAGGCGGCTCATGGCAAGGGCGGGCGAGCGCGAGAGGGAGGGCAGCGGCTCTCAGACGATATTTACCTAGGACTGCGCCACGCCGTGGGCTATGGCGCGTCGATTACGCCGCCAAGATCGGTGGCGCGGACCACCTCGCCACGCCACCGTCAGCCCTCGGTCGTCGCCACGTCACCTCTCTCGCCGCGTCCCATGGCAATAGGCGCGGCCAAAAGTGTTAGTTTTAGAGAAAAAAATAAACAGTGTTAAATTTAAAATTAGTTTAAAAAAGTGTTAAAAAAATCACGGCCGTTGCAGCCGGACCTTGAACTCGTACATGAAGAAATCGTCGCAGCCGGGTCAACCGCAGAGGATCTTTAGCCTATTCGGTTGGCTGGTTCGTGAAGAAGTATTGCTAGCTGGTTTGTGTGAGAGAAAAATACTGTTTTAACTAAAAATTTACGATCGTTTACGACGAGTCATAGCCAAACGAACAGGCTGCTTGTTCCCTCCAATCCGGCCCTATTCAGGCAAAATTGATGAAAAGCTAAACACGCTTATTTGTAAATCTTTGGCATATCCGGATTTCAAACTATGGTTGAGGAGGGCATATGCTGATGCCTCCAAGTCTCCAACTAAACACCAAGAGGTTCCTATCATTGACAAATTTTGCATGAAAAAAAAATCGTAATTATAATCCGACTAACATCAACTAAACTCAGTAAGGAACCGAAGGGACTAAACAGCAAGTTGTATCCAAGATACTGTACACCATTAATCACATTTTAATTTTTAAAGCTAGCAGTAAACTCTCATGCAATAAGTGCACATAACTTCTGAAAAAATACACTATAAAATTTTGAAATGAAGGGCTAGCGGTTAAGTAGTCTATTTAATTTGCTTTAACAAAATTACACTGTACACATACCGACATACTCCGTATATTTGATCTATGCTCTTGGGCTGAAGTGTTGAGTGACCGCCGGCGGCGAGCTGGAGTTGACGTCACCGTCACCGTCGGCCGTCGCACGGCTCGTCGTCGAAGTGTACGGCATGGTAACAGAAGACCCGACAGAGGTGGTGGTGTCGCTGAACTGCATGGTGGAGGCACCGAACGGCTGAAGGTACACAGCGACCGGCATCTTGGGCCGCAGCAGCGGCATCCTGAACTTCCTCGACCGCAGTGCCTCGGCGGCCTGCCGGATCCCCGGTCGCATCTTTGGGTCCGGGTGCGCGCACCAGAGCCCGACGCCGACCACCCGCTCCATCTCTCACTGGTCAAAGGCTCCACAAAGCCGCTCGTCGGCGGCGTCCAGAGCGGCGCCTCGGCTGTGCATGTCCCAAGCCCACTCCACCAGCCGGAACACCTGTCCGTCCTTCCCCTCGCACACGCTAGTAGGCGGCGCCATCGGCCGGCGCCCGCAGGCGACCTCAAGCAACACGATGCCGAAGCTGTACACGTCGGACTCCGGGGAGGCCTTGCCGGTGATGACGCACTCCAGGTCCAGGTACCCTGGCGTGCCAGCGACGGCAGTCATGGTCTGCAGGCTCATGCCGTGGTCGATGAGCCGCGCCAGGCCGAAGTCGCCGCTTGGCGTTGAAGGACTCGTCCAGCATGATGTTGCTCGGCTTGATGTCGCCATGGACGACGCACTGGTCCCACTCTTGGTGGAGGTACAACACGGCGGAAGACAATCCAAGAATTACCTGGTATCTGAAAATTCAAAATTGGGGTAAAAATTAGGTACAACTTGATGCTTGTTCGATTTGATTCGATGAAAGAAAGTACATCTACGGATTTCCAAAAAAAAAAAGGTACTTCAAGACTCAAGAGCTTAAAAAAAAAGTAACTTGTCTTAAAAAAAAGAGTAGAGATCTAAGGGCAGTCGGTAATACGATATTGACTGTAGTTTCTATCTATCTTACTAGGTCGACAACTTAGCAATTTGTTGATGTGGCGGTACTTTTATTACGTTGAGAGAGGAGAAAACAGAGAAACGGTTTCCCCCAATGCGAAACCGAGTCGACCCTCATCCCGATGCGCTAGAAACCACCGAAACAGCGATGGGGAGACCCAGCTCGTTTCGTCCTCAACTCGCCCGGATCCCTTGCGCCACTGCCGCCAATTTCCTCGCGCGCTCTGTCTCTCTGTTCCCGCACGTGCCCTTGCTCCGCTCTTCCCACGCGCGCGCTCATCTCCCGCGCCGCTCGCGCCCCTCTCGCATCCTCCCACATCGATCCCCTCTGCCGCAGCTAAATCCACCTCTGCCGCAGCCAAATCCATCACCGGTGGCATCATCCCCTCTCTCGCGCCCTCATCTGGATCCCCTTGGTAATATGTAGCACAACAGCCCCTCCAATCGATTTCCCACTTCTGCATCTCCAATCTCTCAGAGAATGGATCGACTCACTGGATCCAAGCGATCCTCTGGTTCTCCTGCCGCCCATGGTGCTGCAACCCCTGCTCCGGCCGCCGCCGGTGATGCTGCAACTAGTGTTCAAGGTGTTCCTGCATGGTGGACAGCATCATCTCTTGAGGCATTCTTCAGGCTTGATTCATCTCCTACTGAAGGGTACGTTCTTCAGGCATGCTGGTTCTGTACGTTTTTTTTTACATTAACATTATAGATGATGCTGTGGAACCTGATGGCTTCTGGGGGACTTTTGCAACCTGATGGCTTGTGCAGGGCTTCTGACTGAGATGATGCTTATCATGAACTTTAGTTATTTTGTTGCTTGCGCAACCTGATGATGAAACCTAATGTCGCAGCCTATTATCTTTAATTTTCTGGATTGGTATGATTAATATATGATTCTGCAAACTATATGTGCAGTCCAAGCAGTGAACTGTATTCCTGTGTTCTTGAACTGTATTCCTGTGTTCTTTGTTGTGACTTGTGAGATGTTTGATCTGATCGGTACAAAGCAATCAGGCTATATGGTTGCTTGCCACAGTTGATTTATTGTTTTTTGTGTTGCATTTAAGTTATCTCATGTATAAAAATTATTGTAGAAACCATAGATTGGGAAGGATAGTTTCTACATCACATTAATTGCTCTATTTCTCTCTTGGAAACTGCCTCAAGAAACTATCCATTGGGACTGCCCTAACTAAGTTTTACCGGATAGTAGAGAGCTTCATAGCACAAAGTTAAACACCTCTTTGAATGGGGAGCCATCTTTAAAGTTGGAAATGGGAGAAATTGTAGGTTTTGGCAAGACTGTTGGCTATAGGAGGTTCCACTTAAAATTGCTTATGATGATTTGTACAAATTTGCTACGGAGCCTGAATGTGCTGTGGAGGATTGTTGGGAGGATGATGGCTGGTATATTGATTTTAGGAGAGCTCTTTCTGTTAGGGAAGTTGCTAGGTGGGAGCAGATTCATGGGGAACTTACTAGTGTTACTTTAGTTCTAAGAGGTGCTGATGTGGTTCTCTGGGCTTTGGAAAAGAACCATCTTTTTTCTACTAAATCCTTATATAGATTCTTAACCAGTAGGGGTATGCCCAGTGAAGTGAACCGCGACGTCTAAGAGGGGGATTGAATTAGGCAACTTAAAATTCTAACTCTAAACTATAGCTTCTTTTCTTATCCTTAGCAAAACATATGCAAAAGATAAAATATCTAAATGTGCAACAATGGTTTTACTAAGATGTTGCTATCTCTACCGCAAAATGAATAATACAATGAATGTAAATGCGGAAGCTAAAGAGCAAGGTAGAGATATGCAAACTCTCGTCGACGACTCTGATATTTTTACCGAGATATCGAGAAGCGTGTAAGCTTCCCCCTAGTCCTCGTTGGAGCCCCTCGCAAGGAATCCCTCGCAAGGGCCAAGCTCCCGATCGGGTAACTCTGTGGATAGCCTCGGACCTTCCCCACGCACAAGTAGGTCTCCGACGTGCCTTACGGCAAGCCTCTCCTGGATGTTCCCCGCCGTCTTCACTATCAAGCTTCCGGCCGAAACGGCGCGGGCCTTGTTCCCTCCGGTACACGGTGGCGGCCACACCATAAACGCGGTTGGTGTGATCTCGCAAGACTACAAGCCCCTCCGATGTACAACAATGGTGCGCGCAAGCACCGAGTGGTAAGAGGTATGCAAACCTCACTAAACACTAGGCCTAAACCTAGAGCAAGCGCATAAGCGGTGGCCTAATCAACCTAAGCACTTCGCAAAGCACCTACGCTAATCACCTAATGAATCACTAAGTACTATGCAAGTGGAGATCACTAAAATGGTGTATCAACACCCTTGATATGTTTCCTAAGCTCCACACTACTCAAATGACTGGTTGGGGTTGTATTTATAAGCCCCTCTGAGAAAGTAGCCGTTGGAGACGAAGTCCCGCTTTTCTGCTACTGACCGGACGCTGAAGTCGTCCTGATCGGACGCGTCCGGTCGTCCCGACCGTTGAAGCCGCGATCAACTGATCGGACGATGCCAGTGTCCGGTCACCTGCCACCGGACGCGTCCGGTCGCAGTATCGCCGCTCTGAATCTTTCTGTACTCGACCAGACTCTGCTGTCCTGCGTTCGGTCGGTTTTGCTGCCAGCGTCCGGTCGCTGCTACTGACGCCTGTTTGCTGAGCCTCTTGATCGGAGCGTCCGGTCACTTTCCTCCAGCGTCCGGTCACCTCTGTGAGCTCGTTTCATTGCGATCTTGCGTACGGCTTGGTTCCTATCTTCGTGCTTGGACTTTGCTTGATATCTTGGGTCTTCTCTTGTGCTTCTAAGGTCTTGCTTATGATGTTGATCATCGGATCATCACTTCGCCTTCGTCCAAGTCACATCTTGCATCCTATTGAACTATAAAATAATCACTTGCAAATTCATTAGTCCAATTTGGTTTCGTTGGTCATCAAACACGAAAATCCAAAATAAATGGGCCTAGGGTCAATTTTCCTTACAATCTCGTCATTTTTGGTGATTGATGACAACACGACCAAAGCAAGCAAATAATAAAAATTTGGAATTTAAAAACTGTCTACTTGCTAGGATGCAATACAAGGGGCAAGGTTATATGATGCTAAAGGATACTATTTGTAACGCTAAAGGATACCAGATAAAAAGCTTATCTCGCCCTTGCAAATGTCCCCATGTGGTATTATGGATTTAAGCCTTACTTCCTACAAATTCTCCCCATTACATAGGCGATCCATAATCCACTGTCCTCCCTTTCTCGGATCATTACCACTTGTAAATTATTAATGCTTGCTTTTGGTCCTCTAAATTCTCCCCCTTTGGAATCAAACATCGAAAAGAAAGACATTAGTAGCACAAGGGAGGGTCAAACTTTGTGATCCTTTGTGTGTAGAGTGGAATATGTCACAAAATTTGACTCTCACATTATATAGATTAAGCTCCCCCTAAATATATGCATACATATGGTAGAAAACAAGGCATATGCATATATAACAAATTATTGCTCAAGGGAATTTAATCTATATAATGCATGGAGAAAGCATATAAATATCAAAATGAAATCAACATGATGATATCGGTTTAGAAATACCACATATGGAGACCAATTTGATTTCTACCACTTGCAATAGGTGGTGGATATTTGAAGTATGATGCTTAACTCCGGGAACTCCATTTTCCTTGCAATGAGACTACTACACACATGATAAGCTTAAAAAGGTGTTAGTCTCAAAGTATCCAACTTGTAGAGTAACCTCCCCCTAAAATTATGCACACAAGTGTAGAATACTTGTATAAAACATGCACATTGATTTTAGAATCAAGAATACCACTTTGAAAGATGACATCATATGAATGCGAGAATCATTTTCATAGATGATATTCGGGAGAAATTATCTACAATTTGGACTTTGGCACATATTAGATGAACAAATGTAAGACAAGCTATGTGCCATGCTCCTAAACAATTTTAAACCATGTAGGTTTGCTCCAAGCGTTAAGAATGAAACCGAGCAAGCCTATCATAAGATATACCTAGTGTATGCATGACAAAAGATGCAAATGCAAACATAGGCATAAAAAGTAACTAGAAGCTTAAAGATACCAATTGTAGGAGATTAAATCTAGTACGACTTGAAGCAAAAAGAATCTAGTTACCTAACATAGGAAGGGGAATTTGGGTCCATAGTATTCACTAACCCACTTGTCAATATTCTTATCCATCATGATGCACCCCATGAAATGCACCCATACTTTGCCAAGTCTCCAAATTCCTCGAAGTCCAACGGACTTCTTACTTCCCTTTTGGGATCCAAACCTTCTTGGTGCTCTTCATATTTGATATG